AATAACTCTATCCGATATCTTATATTCAACAAACCCAACATATAGATCAAATTAACAACAAAATTTAACAGCACATTAACTAATCTAAGAAATTTTCTTTTAATAAACTGAGAGAGAGAGGAGATAACTGATATAGATCTCAACTAGGTGGAAACTCTAAAAGGTTCATTCTTTATCAAACCTCCAACTCAATGTTATTAATAAAAAGAAGCAAAAACAAAAAAAAAAAAGAAAAGACAAAAGAGTCAAATAAAAAACTGAAGGGGAAAATAAAAGCAAACAACCTAAAAATAAGGCAAAGGGAAACAAAGAAAAATACAAAAACCGAAGAATTAAGCCTAAACTCGCATCTTGAGAACAAAACCTTATTGTGGCTTCGTTAAAAACCGTCTAGCAAAAACTGATTTGGAAAAAGACAGAAGAAAAAAAAAGAGAGTACATAATTACTATAGATAGTCAGCTTAACAAATGATAAAAACAAAAACTAATCATAAAAACGATACGTGGAAAAAACCGGCTGTTCCTTAGCCATGCCTGCTATGCAGAAACCTGGAACTATAAACCACCATGCTTCATCTTCCAAGTGAACAGCATTAGTAGCAAGCCAGTCTGCCACTTTCCCTGAATATATGAGAAACACAGTACATCTTCCTATTGAAATATTGAATAGCCCGCTTCCAGGTAGTTAAAAACTTCCGAGGGACACAAAGGAAATGTTTGTTTTCTGTATTCATTCATGATTCTCTACAGTATTTTTTTCTCACAAAAAAATATACATAAAATGAGAATAATTTTAAATTATGGTTATAAATTCATGAACCAAACATCTATGAAGAGTTCTGGTTTTGAGCAGATTGACAACAGAAATAGAATCACATTCAAACCGAAGACAATCCCAATCACATTTTTGGGCATAATAAACTGCAGTAACTACCCCTGTCAGCTCATATAAAATGCCCAGAAGCTTGGCGAAGCATCCTTTACAAAAGCCCCGTTAATTTTTTGCGCTAAAAAGCCCACCCACTGTGCAAGACTTTTGTCGTAACAAAAAGTGGACCCTACAGCCTAATCCAGAACATTTACGCACGGAAACTTTTAGCTCTTCGTTGCTAAATGACTCTTTTGTTGTAGTGCTTGAATAAAGAGTACAATAATAAGAAATTAACCAATGAACGCTACAAAGGATGAAGTTGTAATATATATATATATCTATTGGCCAATGACAAACAGAAACTAAGAGTGGAGGACCTCCAACACAAAGACCCTCACTTAAAATGTCTATAATTTTTTTTTGCTCTTTGTATATAGTGTCTGCAATTTAAGACCCCATTCATTTCACTGATTCGAGTTTTGTTACAGTAAAAAGCTCTCAGAAACAATCACTAAAGAAATTTGCGGGATAACATTTTCCCGTGTGAAGAGGACTTTTTGTCACCAAAAGAGTATGTGAACGATATTGTCGACTCTACTTATTCTATCCTTTAGCAGCCAAAAAAAAAATGATCCTATTGTACAAGAATATATATATATATGTAAATGTAGTTGTCGTATTATAAAAATTTCAACCTGTTGGATTTGGTGATAGTCGAAAGAGTTGCTGACCATGATTATCTCTTCCTTACGGCAGTTTTCCTTGGGATGAAGAAATTAAGCATGATGTTTTTATAATGGTCCATATTGGGTGTTCATCCAATCTACTCTAACCTATTTTGGTCATATAATAACCAATCTAATTAAAAATCGGATTTTAAAAATTACTTTCAATCTAATACAATTACTAGTCTATCATCTAAACCAATTCAATTTGATTAAGGTCGGTTTAGTTATAAGATTAGACCAATTGATTTTCTACTTGAGCTTTTCATATATTTTTTTATTATTCTGTTCAATATTTGTTATATCTTTTTGACAATATTTAACTATTATAGTTGAAAGAATGAAGCAAGAGTTAACATCCATAAATTTAAAAACGCATATAAACTACAAAAGTGATCAAACATCGAACACACAATGCAAAGAAATGAAAAAAAAAAAAAAGTTACAAACTGATAAACATAAAAAGTTCAGCAAAAAAATATAATAATAATAATAAAAAACATAAAAAGTGTATGGGAAAAAATAGAATTTAAATTTTTTTGACCAATAATATAAACATAGGACTTTCTCTGGAAGTCCATGTAAGAATGGATTACCGGTAATCCCTTACTTTTCAACTGTCAGATCTGTATCAGAACTTGTCTATTCTGTAAACTTTTTCAATCTGATGTGATTTCGACTAAATCCAACGATCAAAAACTGAGACTACCGATAGAGCAAACTACTGAGGAAAGTCCTTGTAAATATTTTTGTATATATTTTTTATATAATTTATAGAGGTTGGATCGGTTTGGATTGGGTGTTTTGAAAGTAAAATTAACATCCAATCCAATCTAAATCGGTTTTAATTTAAGAATCAACATACAATCTAATCAAATTGAGATTGATTATCCGTTAAAAATTGATTGTATTAGATTGAACCAGTCAGTTTGATCTATTGATTGGATCCGATGATCATGTGATGGGGCCTTGCTCATATAGTTTTAATGGTAGGGCTCTTTACACATAGCAAAAATTTATATAGTGGAGTTTAGATATAGCAAATTTTTTAAAATATTATAAGAATAATAAGATTTAATGTCATTAAAATAATATATATCATTGGGATAGTGACTATGTCATTTTTTATTTTTGTAATATTTTAAAAGTTTTGCTAAATTTTAATTCTAGGTATAAAATTTTGTCAGTAGTGTAATTATCTCTTAATTAATGGTATCCTTCTACCGCGCAGCAGTTTGTTCGTTTTTTTTTTTTTTTTTTTTTTTTTTTTTTTTTTTTTTTGAGAAAAAAATAAAAGAACTTTATTACTCGATTGCAATGTCTGAAAGAACAAAAGAGCCATAAAGTTTAGTAGAGAATCAACCCATAAAAAATCCCTAACTTGCGTACACGCAAAATTAGCCAAACAGTGGACTACTAAACTTCCTTATTTGGGAATGTAACTCAACTAAATTTGTGTTAATTCTTAAAATTAAACAAGCTTTATCTATTGATGCCTTGAGTCTATTTTCTTAGTATTTTTTATTTAGGTTAAGCGGTATCCTTAAATTTTATGGCCAGTCTCAGTTTGTCCATCAAACTTTAATAACTCTAATTTCGTCTGTTGAATTTTCAATTAGTCTCACCAGACCCACTTTATTAGAATTCTTGTTTAACATTGGATGAAAAAAATGGGCTAAGTATTGTCATTTGGTCTTTCTTCAATTGTCATTAACAAAAGTTCTAACAGAAAGACCACATAATCATACTATAATTTGTACCTCTTTTTATTCGTTTGGCTTTTATAGATCAATTCTAGATAGAAGGATTAAGGAAGATTATTTTTAAAACTCAAGTGGCAAAATGAGAGTTTTTAAAGTTTTAAATTTAAACTGAAAATGATCCCAAACTTCACCGTCATTGAGAATAACTTTTTTATTTAAAACTATTACCAATATTATTATAGACAAACTTAGGAACACTGCAGAGAAAAATGTTTCACTTTTGTTTTATCCTTGATCGGCATGTTCCCCCTTCACTTCTTCTTTTTGTATTTCATGTTTTTTTTTTCTTTTATGGGTTTAAAGGAAATGTTAAGATTTACTAATCTTTTATCGGACCAAGTTGTCAAGTGCTATTCTACATATTATGTTGAATTGTAATTGAAAACAAGAAAACTTTTCCTTAAAAAAAAACACATTTGTGCCTTGGAGACTTAAATCTGATTGGGATAATTTACTGTTTCGATCTATATATATCTTGTTACTATTTCCTATCAGGCTTCTCATATTTTTCTGGAAGATAACCAATTTGCTAATATACTTGCTGCTTATGCTATCTCCCGCAACTCACTATATATCTTGGTGTAGTTCAATATACTTGTCTGGATTTTTACTTAATGAAAGTTAATTGAGTTATTGAAAAGCGAGTATTACATTTATCAATTACCTAACTTTTAGAGAGTAAACATGTACCCTTTTTTTTTTTTTGGGCCGTCTAGTACTTTTCACATTGGGTTTTTGCTAAGGTCTATTGTGTTTTTGCTGGCTTTAGACTTTTTCATTATTTTATTCTAGGGAGAAAGAGAAAAATATGTTAAGACTTGAGATGAATTAAAATTAATAGGTCAATAGTTTACATAAGTTAATAAATATGCTAAATTACTGTTTTCGTCCATAACTTGTCTGGTTATGAACCATAACTTGACAAGTTATTGTCCATAATTCACGGTTTTTATTCATAACTTATCCGGCTATGAATCATAACTTGACAAGTTTGTTCATAACTTATCTGGTTATGAACCATAACTTAATAAGTTATGGCCTATTAATTTCTATAACTAAAAATTGACCTATATACTTTCTTAAACTTTTCATATTGGCCTATTTTTTACTATTTCCCTTTATTCTATTAGCCTTTCAATAAGGTCTATTTTTCTGTTTCAGCTCCGGAATAATTTTTGAGAAGTTATTGTGCTTTCTTTTATTATTAATATACTAGCTAGAGTGGGGAGATATAATTTGGAATAATTTCTTTAACTAGGTTTAAACTAAGTTGAAATGCGTTGAAGTTGTTTTGATACTAGTTGTTCTTTCTGTTTAATTTATTAAAAAATGTCACAATTTAAAGCCTTGAGTCGTTTTTTTTTTAAGGAGCAAAAAAAAAAAAAAAAAAAAAAAAAAAAAAAAAAAAAAAAGGAAAAAGAAAAAACAGTGAGGCAACATGATATGAGAAGGACAGTAATGTAACTTCACAACTCAACATTCTTGTCATCCATTTATAAATAGATAGAAATCTAGGCTGCATCCCCTAGAAGCAGTTTCACTTGTTCATGTGTGTACTTGTTTTACTATATTATTAATCCTCACCTAGGTTTTAGTTTCAAGATACATTTCTTAATTTTCTCTATTTCCACCACAGCATTAATGGAAGATCATCACCATCCTCAAAGCCAAGACCCGAACAGTCCAACCAACGGCTCAGATAAAAGCAATAGTAATACTGAACCAGCCGTAAGGTCAAGATGGACTCCAAAGCCAGAACAAATCCTCATCCTTGAGTCCATCTTCAACAGCGGAATGGTTAACCCTCCCAAGGACGAGACCGTGAGGATAAGGAAACTGCTCGAAAAATTCGGCCCCGTCGGGGACGCCAACGTCTTCTACTGGTTCCAGAACCGCCGCTCGAGGTCCCGCCGCCGCCAGCGGCAGATGCAGGCGAACCTTGAGGTCCAGCAGCGAAACCAGGCACAAGTTATTGGTGGTACAATTCAGTATGAAAGCAATAACAGCACCACTAGTACTCAGGCCATGGCAGCTTATCTAGCTGCTCCGGCTCCTTTTGTTTGTTCTCCTCCTCCTTATAATAATCTTGCGGGTTCTTCTTCTTCATCATCATCTTCATGTGGAGTTTTGGCAGATCATCATGATCATCATCATGGTGTGGACTACAATACTAATTTCTTTCAAGTCTCTGGTCAAATGGGTTTTCCGCAAATTGAGCAAAGCTCGCCTGTAACGTCTGCTTTGTACCCTCCAGATAGCTCAAACATGCATTTCCAATCCGGTATATTATTATGATATATGCATGGCCAATTCAACACTTTTAATTTCGTATAAGTTAATATTTTGATCTAATTTGATGTTTTCTCTCTACTTCTCCAATAATTGGTTTTTGATTTGATTATCATTTTAATTAACATGTTCTAAGTAGTTTTTCTTTTAAATGTTTTTTAACTTTTTTTTTTTGGCTGAATTTTAAGAATAATCTTATCAAGCCTTATCTGAATTATTTGCGCAGTATGAATTCACATTTGATTCATAAACCAAAGTAGAAAAGTTGGAACTTTTTGATATAGTTTTGTAAGGCTAAAAGTGCGTCAGAATAAATTAAAGTAACTTTTCTATGATGTTACAGTTCTTGTGTAATTTGAATAGTAAGAAAAAGTTAAACTTTATCCCCTGAAAACATGACGATTCTGTTCTGTAACAGCCTTTAATTACTTATTTTATTCTTCTTTGTAAGAAAATTTTCACATGAAAACCTAACTCTGCTCGGAAAGCAAGTTTTTGTCTTCCCTTTATGGATCATGAGCCAAAACTTGAATGATTATTTCTTATCTTTATTTAAACAAAAATTAAAAACCATATTAAACAAAAATTAAAAACCATACTGTTTATAATAGTGTAGATTAAGATTTTCTTCTAATTTAACTAGAATAAATTAGTTATCCATCTGATTTGTTTTATAGAATATTCGCTGAAGAATCACGATCGATATATTTTTTTGAGCCCATTTTTTTTCTTATTTTCTTTGTGAAATAAAATATGAAGAAAAGTAGGCTGCAGCCTGCTGATCTATGTCTTTCACACGAGGATTAATATTTAATTAAGAGTAATGCAAAACATTGAGCATGTACACATTTTATTCCATTCAATTTATGAAATTAATTTTCCAGGATTCATCACGGTGTTTATCAATGGAGTTCCAACAGAAGTCCCAAAGGGTATAATTGACTTGAAACCAATGTTTGGTCAAGATGTGATTTTGGTGCATTCCTCTGGAGTTCCTCTTCCAACTAATGAGTTCGGTATTCTAATGCAGAGCATGCAGCCTGGTGAAAGCTACTTCCTGGTAAGCAACCCGTCTATTACTACACACACACACACACACAAAACATTACCTAAATTTTTTAAGTTTTTATGATGTTCTCTATCTCTCGAAGGGTCTATATATCTAACTATCCTATATGATTTGCAACATTAATAAAGTTCTATAACGATATTCCATTTAGATATTTTTCAATATCTTCAAATCTTCACAATCAAATTCTACATTCTTCTTCTAGCAAAGAAATTAATCTACATTCCTCTCTCTCTCTCTCCCTTTCTCTCTCTCTCTCTCTC